TTTTGCTGTCATGGTTACATGCATCACAAACTTAATAATTTCCAGTTAGCTGTGTATCAAATGCTGCTATGGAAATGTTGTGTTTTTTGGATGCTGTCCAGGATGTGCAAGATTAAGAGCATTCTAAAGTATCATGAGAAGCTTTTGATATGGATTTTATATGCATGTGTGATCATATATATAATGTACAAAGAAGTTAGGAATTGGGTTCAATCTGTTTCTCCACCGAGTGCGCTTCATTGCATGAAGTTAAAGGAAAAATGTGATAGGTCATCACTAACATTGAAAACTCCTATGGTGCATCTCGTATGTGAACATTAAAGCTAGTTGCATCATTTGTGATAACTTAAAATCTATGAATAATTTTTTTTTCAAATATAATTTTAGATCTTAAACCACTGCAACATTTAAATTTTACAAATTTATTTGCATACGTAAATTGATTCTGTATTCAAATCCTAGACAAAGCATATGTACAGTACCGGTACATTGTGTTGATTGGTTCTAATGCAGGTACTCTAATATATTTTCCAATTCTAATGTACATGTACTTATTTTGGAATTAATTGAAATTCTTCCATATACTGTATCATACAAAATGGCTGAAAATTACAATACAGATTGGATTACTTACTTGGCTGTCGTCACTTGAAATAACCAAATGAGTGATAGGAACATAGCTTGTGGACAGTTGATCAGCATAATTTCCTTGTACAATAGTTGTATTACTGGTGAATGCAATTTGATTTATATTAATCCACAAATTGCTGTGTTTTATCTTAATACATGGTACGTATTACATGTATTTACAGTATGTGAGGCACTGTGATTCAAAATCTATTCTTACATTGATATTAACATACCTCAAAGGATCAAAAAGAGCATCTGTGTTGATCTGGAAAATCCCTATGCTATACAAGTTTTCTAGCCTCCTCACTCTAGCTTGACTTAATCCCCATAGATTACATGTGAGTACTTGTTACTTGCAATGAATATTATGAAATACCATTAGGAAAGCACTTATACTATACATGAATATCTTTCGTAAAAAGGGCTATTTTCGACTGGTTCTTGAAAACTGCTACCCCGATTGCTTCAATATTTTATACATACAGTGTAGACACTTTGAGTGGACCTCAGTCAGATTATCTTCAATTCTCTAATTTTAGTGAATATTTTTGTCATTTTTGAGAAAAAATGGCCATTTTCAACTTATTGAAAATGGCTAGGCAAATTGCTTTGATATTTTATATGCAGATACATGTACCTTGGGTGAACCTCTAACAGATGGTTTAATTTCTAATTTTAGTGAATATTTTTTGTCTAACTTGCACAACTTGTGCATTGCGTCCAGAATGCCTTTGGGAATTCCCGGAGAATTGCGTTGGTACAACATAACATTCTGATTCTTATAAACAGACTTGACCTATCAAGTCAAATTTGCATCAAGAGTTTGCGTACAATCGAACACATTCGATAATGAAAATAATAATGATGATTTTGATTTTGACTGTTGTCCCAAAGACCCTAATAATTTTAACATCGTAAATTCTGGTGATACGTAATTAAAAATGGAATAAAAAGTGCATATTTTGTGACCATTTCTGTTTTTTTTATTATAAAAGTGTTGTGGGAATCAATGACAACACAACTAATTTTACAATTTTATTTTCTCCAAAGACATAATATTCACCTCAATCTGACACATGATAATCAAAAATTGTCATTTACATACTTTTTTGGTGGCGTTGCTCGACTACATGCCCTACCCGCTAAAACATGTGATTTTTGGAGCTACATGCATGTACCCTTTATGCTAAGTTTGGTGAGTATACATGTATGCAAAGCAAAAGCAAAGTCAGAAATATTAATTACGAATACATGTGCATCCATCGCATGAATACATGTATTACAAGTTCCAGGATATTATGATATAGTACCAGTGAATAATAACACTGCCCCTTTTCGATTAGGTAAATAATCAAACATATTGAACAATTGACAAATGATATTTATACATGCATATTTCCACCTTATGATATTATACAAATCAAAATATGAAAAGAGAATTGAAACTAATGTAATGGAACATCATGGTCACTGGCCTTGTGTTATTGTTGTCTTGTTTTTTCAAGCGTTAACCAAACAAGCATTCTAACAAGAGTTTTTCCTGCAAGCCAGTTTGGACCAAATTATAAACTTGCAGTTTGCTGCTTACATTGTAAGAACATGTAAAGCACACGTGACATAAATAACACCAAATCACCTAGCACCAGTTTGTGTTATTAGGTACATTGCATTGGTTCAGGTCACGCTTAATGCTTAGTACGTGTTTATTTTGATTAACGTAGTCTTTTTTCCAGCCATGTATTTTGTTTTATTTCAGTGTATAAAAACCATCAGCCAGACTGAAATTAAGCAAGCGGTATATATGCATTGTAGCAATTACATACTTGTGTGACTTGCCTACTAATAACTCTCAATACAATTCCATTACATGCATATCATCACATCATTCATCCATGGATGTATGTGCCAGTGTTTATATTTTGAAGTTGTCATGGCAACCAATTAAATTATTCTCTTCTCGAGCAATACTGTCAGAAAATTCATATTAAATAATGTGAAATGTGGCATTCAATCATCCGAACTGAATTAAGAAATTTGCTTCAGCTTGCTATTCCATTTTTTCAACCCCAATCTTAACTAGATGTGTTAACCTTTTTATCAACTTCCATTCTATTCTGTGAACCAATTTACAGTCATCAGATATATACCTGTATTTCACCATACTTGTCTAGGTATGACGCACAGTGTTCATTGTACGTGATGATAACCCTCTATTTAGTGTCAGATTTATTTTTAATTTGAAGCTTAGTACAGCAAGAAGATCAGAAATATGCAAGGGTCACTGAACATTTTTGAATCTTGTACCCACCTCATCTTTGACTGGCTGTATCCTTATTTTTATTCATTATACCATAAATAATGATGTTTTTCATATGTATACATGTAAAGCCTTTGAATAGTGGCTGAACAATGATGGCTACTTGACAATGGATGCCTGTGAACATACAGTACATCATGCAACACTGTCTGTGTGTTTGTCAAAGCCAAGTGATTTCACTCATACTTAACACTGTATTATTGCCATCACACATAAATCAATTGTGTTTTATAGAGAAATTATAAATGCTGTTAAATTCATTAGTAGTATTAATTGGACTGTCAATCAAAATCTGAAACAGTGATTTAATGTATGTTTTGGGTTTTGTCTGTGTTCCAACATCATTTCTCAGACATGCCTGGATTGCTGTTGTTCAATTGTGAAACAAAAACATTATGACATACATTGCTGTAACTGTCTACATATCACATCAATTTGTTTTTTGTTTCGTTTCATTGACCTTGGGCCGACTGCTGATCAAATTTGTCCCCAAAAAAACGTTTCAACATGTCATCAACCATTTCTCAGTTGTATCTGTGCTGATTTCATTCACATTTGGTAATGCTGACATCACTGATTTTTTGTTTTTTTTGTTTCAGTGAAATTTCTTGAAATGTCTTTTCCCCTATTGTGCCAGACAGATTCTACATTATTAAAAGTAACTTTTTCTATTTCAAAACTGTACATAAAAATGATTTTTGCTTATTCTTAATTATGTACAAACATACTCGAGGCTTGAACTTCGTAGTTGAGGAGGCACCCAGTTTCAAGGCCAAATTAGATTAAATTGGCTTTTTAGTGTATAGGCAATTACTACGTTCATGTTACGAGATTTCGGCATGTGCTGAAATTTTTAATCTTTCGTGTTTGGAGAGGGATTCCAGCAGTTGCTTTCACATTAGTCAGGAACCAAACTTAGCTCATGCCAAAATAACGCCCTCATTCGTTGATCTGTTGTTGACCAAAACAAGGTAAACAAACGCATACAACATGTATGATGATGGTAATGATGATAATAATTACTTTATTGAAATCATATTCATTTGTTGTTATTGTATTTATTATGAGTCATCATAAATGAACAGCAAAAAACTATTCAAAGAACTGTCTTTTCATATCAATGTAGCATTGCAAAAAGGAACAGGTTACAGCAGCAAATAAATGTCTCGCTGACAATGTTCTGCATTTTTTTTTCTTTTATTACTGCAGCATCAAACCATATTTAACTGCACTTACCTCAATTGTCATGTCATACTAGTATGGATCTATATATGTTAAATTCACCACCAAGGGCGTCATTTTAGTTCGTGTCTAGTGTTCAGGCAGAAAATCTTGACACGTGCCAAGTTTTGATCCCCGCTCTCGCTCTATATTGGGACCAAGATCAATTTTTTTTTGGCATATGCTGACTCGGTCCTGACGATTCACACACAAGTTTTGACTTGTGCATAGATCAGTAACATGAATGCCACTAATATCTGTATTTTGAAATGACACCAAAGCAAACAAATTGCCTCAATTCCACTGTGAAGTTCAAGCCCTGTATGCTGTCCTATAATTATATTGTTTATTAGCTTGGTTAATTCCTAGTACCGGTATATCATGAAAGTTAACTTGTAGGTAACTATGCCTTCATGCATTTAACGATGCCTTCATGCATTTAATGCTATCAAAATTTGTTTTCCTAGTATAAATCTGTTGCAATCAACCTTATGTATGTTTTGTACGATGTAAGTAATAAGCTCCACCACTCTTCATTAGTGATACATGTATACATGTAGCTTGAGAGAAGTATTTAGGTTTTGCTAAGGGTAGTGGTCACTGCAACGTATACAGTGATTTGTCTGTTAGCACAAAATTTGCCCTCTAACCTTCTAACATTTAAAACAATTTTTGCTTCTAAAATGTATTTTAAAAACCACCAGTATTTGTTTTCAAATTGTGTTCAATTTTGAGAATCAAATAATCATTTTTTCCACGCTGTCGGGTAGGGGAGTGATATTTAAACTAAATATATTTGTAATTTTTGCATTATTTATTTGTTATTCTGTAGGTGGTCCTGGTTCAAAGAAAGGCAGAATAGTTGATGATCTAGTTGCCGTGTATGGTTTTAATCTTCTTGTTGTTGAGGATCTTATATTGAGGGAGCTTCCGAAAAAAGTTGCAAATGCAATTTCTGTGGATAATACAAGAGATGTTGCCGATTTGCTTAAGGTAAGTTTAATTATTAAATGTTAGTGGGTGTATTAAAATATTTATCAGCAGCTTTTAGTATAAATCTATTAGCAGAAGTTGTTCTATTCATCTTGTTTGGCTTGGAACATGTGTACAAGGTTTACAGGAACATGGTGGGTTAGTTAATTATATGCACATCACAGTGGTTCGCTCTCACAGTGGTAGCCATTGTCGTACATTTATACTGAAGCATATTCAATACTGCTGCAATCAGTTTCTTTTTAAAATGATACAACGATGTGAAACTACCTTTTGTAGCTGTTAATTCTTTGAATTCTTCTTTGCCGTTCCTGTGCATGATTAACAATGGATGTCTTAACATCAAATAGCATCACTATTCCGGAGCCGGACTCAGTGATGTGTGGATGGATTTGGCATAAACTTAGTGCATACGTTGAACGAAATTGATACAATTTGTTCAATTTTCCAAGTGGTGGCCATTTTGTTTTAAGAATTGTTGAACCATGTATTGTATCAAATTTAAACTTTACATGTATCAAAGCGGACAAACACAGTTGCATTTTTTGTCACCATCAAATCCGAAATGGTAGACTGAGTGAACAGCATCTTGTTTAGACGAATACAGTTCCATGGAGCCATATCCCATAAGGGGAGAGTAGGAAATCAAACGGGCGATGCACAGCGGTCATTACCTCGGTGGTGGTGGGTGCTCGCCGGTCGACCGCATTTTATGCAAATTTATGCATAGATTCCATGACACCTGCTGACCGCGGTCGTCCACGGTGGGCTCGCACAGCAATTCACACTTATTGTCAAGACCATCAATGAACACAAAGAACTGGGAAATTAAAAGGATCACAAAGTTCTAATGAAAAATTAAACCAATTTGGCTGAGCCAAAAGCTAGGAAACTAGTCTATAATAGTTGACATAATTTTTTTTGCCTGAGCCTTGAAATAAAATCACAAAACGATCCAGAAAGACGTAGAGATCAACATAATATAAAATAAGATCGCATTATTTTGTGAATATATATCATGCATGGTCTCAGAAAATGTTTAGAAAGATTAATGTTTCGCGTAGACCAAATATAATCACGCATAAGTATAAATTCAAAGCGTTTTAATATATTGGTGAGAGGTCGCATTTACGTGAACAAGAACATGCACTAAAAAGGAAAAGCAAGCCAAAGTCGAAACAGGGTGTATCATGGACTTGGTACAACATGCGCTGCGACAATTGAGTGATCGTCGACATCATTTTGGGGCACAATTGAACTTCAAGTACGTTGCGAAACTTGCTACGCTG